AAAAAAGAAAAAAGAAAAGAAAAAAAAAAGGACACTTTCCTGTAAACTTTCCTTGGCGCTCCAAGCTCCGTGGTGTTCCCTGGTGGAGGCATTGGCAGCATCAGCCCACACTGCACCACTCCGAGGGAAGGCAGCAGCTGAATGACTTGCACTAAAATAAACTCATAAATACCCCATAGCGCAAACTGTAACGCGTTGGGCCAACCATTGCTCCGGCCACTTTTGCCGAGGAACTGTGCGAGCGAGTTTCTGTTTAATTCAAAACGCAGTTGTGTGCACCTACTAACAGCCCAGCACAGGACTTGGGTGTCCCCGGGCCACGGAGAGTGCCCGTGGGTGCTGCAGCTCCTGCTGGGAAGCACCACGGCTGCATCCTACGTGGGCTCTGAGTGCTCACCGAGAAGCAGCACCATCCCTCCTAGCCTTGACCCGTGAGCTGGAGAGGAGAAACGCTCCCAGCCCTTCCGATCACCTCCAGCGCCAGAGAGACCATATTGCAACCAGCGCTTTGCTGGAGCAGCCCCGGGACTGGAGCGGGGCCATCGCTGCCTTCTGCAGGACACAGCGCAGGTGTCTGCCACACGGCTGCTATTTAAGCCTCATTGCTAAGTAGCTCCTAACCTTTCCCTTCATCCTCTCTTTCCTGCAATGGCTGGCCGCCCGAGGAAGATGAGCGGAGGCAAGCAGGACTAGCAGCTCCCACCCAGGGGACCGGGCTAATGTCATTTACTCCAGTCTCCACCAGCTGGATCTTGGCTGGGGAAGGACGTTGTGCGCAGACCGTCGGCGAGCACGCGTCCTTGGGCTGGAGGCCCAGAGGAGGAGGCAGAGAAGCCGGAAGGGGTTAAGCCGAGCCGCCGAGCGCAAGCAGCAGGGAGGCCCGGATGCAGAAGCCGTCGCACAAAATGGGGTTGGCAATCGGGGCTGGCCGAAGGCGCTCGGCTGCTCACTATTAAATAATGCAGCCTGATTGATTGGGCTGAAAAGTGCTGTGTTGCGGGGTCAGCTTGCTGGGGTTATAGTTCTCTGCTTAGATTGATGATCCTCAAAGGTCGAATTCAGAAAGCAATTCCCCGGTAAAATTGATCCATCGGATAAGAGAACTTTTGCACAGTGGCGAAGGGCCGAGCAGAGAGAACAAGTGACCCGGGCGCAGGCAGGCAGGGTGACCATCGGCCTCTGCTTTCTCCTGTTTAATTTTCCTTGTTTACACCAATTAGGAAGTGAGGGTCTTCTCTGGGAAGAGCAGTGCCCCATCACCCCGACACGCAGCGGCCGGGGGACGCCCATGAGCACCCAGCCCGTGCCCATCCCCTGGCAGGGGAGCGTGTGGGTGCCTTTGCGGGGGCAGGAGGCAGCTGGGGCTGTCCCGGGAGCTGGGGCTCGGCCCCCAGCCCTCCTCGGCAGCAAGCGAGCGGCCTCCCACACGCATCCGTGCCTTGCTCTCCCGGTGGCAAGCGGTCTGGCTGCCGCCGCTTGGCGGAGGTTTTGGAGCAGGAGGCAAATTAGCCGGGAGTGGGG